GAAATTAATTAAATTGATTGATGTATTTGATTTAATTTGATTGCATATAGGGTTGCCTATTTTTTCTAGTTTTTTTGCGGTTTATATGTCATTTTTTAGACTAGATATGTGAAGGCTCGTGAGGTCACATTAAAATTTTTTCTACTTAAATTAAAAAAAAAAATTTATGCCAACATAAAAACTCTAACGATCTATGAAGTAAGTCCGGGACTGCTAGGAGTCAGCATAAGCATATTTTACCTTCTCCTCCTTATTAGGCACCTCCCTTCCTGTGGGATATGGCAGACCGCCTGGCTTTTGAGGATGTATATTTGTTAAGGGATTGTTGTGCAATCTCTAAGGAAATATATTTTCAAGCCTTTTTTTTTTTTAATTTGCTACATACTCATTTTATGCATTCAATTGAGTCGATCACCACACATTGCATTAAAAACTATTAAAAGTGAGTCTAAAATTTTAATTGCATTTCTTTTCAAGTATTTTCATCCCTCATAAGTTAAGCGACCAATTAGGATCGGCTTTAGACGTCGGTCCTAATTCTCAAAAATTTTAATAATAACATCTCTACCACTATTTTATATAAATGATTGAACTCATGGATTTTAAAACAACTAGGTAGTTAGTTGGCTCCCCAATTTAGGACTGGGTAAGTCTGGATTTTACACGATATTAGTTAGGTTCGGGCCACCATCATTCGGTGCCCAAAATAGATTTAGGATCTAAGGTAGATTTTTGGATCATAAGACCCCAACCTCTTGGAATATAATTCTAAATTTTTAATAATCTATCAAACTCAAATTAATTTTTTTCTCAATCTAAAATATAAAGCCCAACCCTTAACTTAGGTTGGGGCTAAAAGTTCGTGAGGGGTGTTAAACCCTAAAGAACTAATTCTGAGGCTAACCAAGAGATGGATGAATTAACTATTTAAAAAAATCATCTTTTAATAAAAAGAAAAATCCCTTTCTTAAAGCTTTTTTAAAATCTAAAAATAGATAATCAATACAACACAATATCAATCACAGCTTTTTAATCAAGTAGTTATATAAAAAAAATGCGAAAAATAAGGCACGAAAAAATAAAATTAGAAAGATCACACCTGATTTATAGTGGTTTGGTCCAACCTGACCTACATCCACTCCCTAGAACCTCCCGTTTTAGGTATTGCACTAAATCTTTAGTAACTCTCCTTTAGCCCCCACAGCTAGATGAAAAAGCCCTTAAAAAATCACTTCCACCTTCCCCGGTGCAACGGAGTAGCTGAGTCCTTTGACACTTAAGAAATCTTCTTCTTCCCAAAACTTCCCTTATGATGAACCTTGAATCCAATGGTACTAAGGTGCAAGCTTGACAGAGCAACCGTGTGAAATCTCCTCCACATTCCCTTGAAACACCCTTCAAAGATCTTTTTCCTCTCAAACTCCACCCTTCACTCTCTTTCTTTCAAGTTTTCTCTTCAAGTTTTCTCCAGAATAACGAAGACACAATAGCTGTCAAAGATACTTACCAAGTGCCTTGACAAAGCTTAAATAGAGGGCATTTAAAAATCATAAAAATTAATTCTAGCAGCAAAGATCGTCCAATATGATTGCAGGATTGTTCAGTACGATATGCTTAAATAGATAGCTTCATAAAATCCTAAAAACTCAATTTTGGTGCCAAATATCATCCTGAATGATGGCAGGATCGTCTAGTATGATGTGCAGAATTTGACTTGATAGTCTTGGACGATCTTGTAATAGTCTAGTAAGACCAGTTCAAATTTGTACAGGTCATCCAATACGATATTGGGGATTGTCCTAGACGGTTAGATGAAAAATTATGGTATTTTGTCTGGTGCGATTGAGGGTCGTCCCATGAAATATCAAAGACCAATACGATCTTAAGATGTCCTAAAAGATCTGATCGAGCAATTTAACCATAATTAGTCCTCTAATCATTAGATCAATTTAGGCATGATTGTCATATATCGTCCAGTATGATGTAGATCGTCTTAGACGATTAGAACAAAAAATGAAATTCAAAATTTTGCCTAAATTATGATTGGCGGCTATATTTCATGATCATAATTGATCGCCTTTGACAATATAAATCATCCAATACAATTAGTTAGATGAGCTGATCGTACAGTACTATATAAATTATACAATACGATTAGTTCAAACTTATGGTTTTAACTCAATTTCACTCCCTCTGAGTGTGTGTGCATGGTCACTAAGCAAACATACACCCTTACAAGACTTGACTCAAAGAAGTCAAAAATACACTAATGAATATTACAAAAATCATTACAACATAATCTATTCTATCCAATATTGAGCATCGAATCTTTTATTGGATGATGCATGGTGTTCCTGAAAAGTTAGTACACACAAGCAAAAATATAATACAAAGACAAGTAGACAACAGGATGTGAGCCACATTATTTGTTATAATCAAAAACATAAACTCATGAGCTCGAGTTGCAATAGGGACACTTCTGAACTATTTCAGTATCTCTAAGTGTCTTCTACCTCTCCTCCATTAACTCCTAAAAGAAGTGTTCAAAATTCGATCTAGTCCCCATTAAAGTTTCAAAATTCATTTCATTTGATATCACTCATAGTATCTCTAAACAGAATTTTTGTCATTATTTTAATCGAGAGTATTTGTATGAGACCCCGACCTCCTACGATGTTAGTAACTATGAAGGCTTACACTTGTAGGAGATTTAGAATTCACACCTACTTTTTCAAAAATCAATTTTTAAAATTCAATCAATTTTCTTTAGGAAAATCAAAATCAACGACAATCATTATCGTTATGTTTGAACAATTGTTAATACATGACATTTTCTTCCTTTAGAAAGATATATCATTTTTTAATAAGACTTCGAGTATGAGAATAACGATAATTCATCAAGATTATCATAACTAAATATTCGATTGAACTTTACTTTGACCTTCCGAGGCTATATACAGTTCTTTCCTAAATTTGGCTATGATATTTGATATGTAATTTGTAATTTTAAATTTCAACCCTATTTTGAAATCTTATTTCTACCTCTTGAGGTAGTATACCTTTTTCTGATGGGTTGTTCGATTTTAGAAGTAAAATTCAAACTCAATTTCATATTTCCCAAAGAAGATTACCCTTTTTAAAACCGCTTTTCAAAATTCTCCCAAACACATCCATCGAACAAATTTGGATTCAAAAGTTAATATTCTACAAAAATTTGTGCACACATTAATAAAAGTGGAGTTACAAGAAATACTAAAGTTTTAATACAAAAAATGCAGAAGAGGGAAAAACCCTGGGGCTTAATTCAACAAAAATAATTCTACCAATGTTTATTATTAGTTATAAATGGTAACATTCCTTTGGAGGTGTTGATATATGTAGCAAACAGATAATATGTAGAACATATTAAATTGAAGAAGTTAGAAGAACGTTATCTCATGGCATTTATCTATAAGAAATGGATTGTTTGGCCATGCTCCCTTGAAGAGGAGAGATCAAAGACCAAATAGTCCAACATAAATCTAGGTGCTTATATTGGGATTCAAAGTTAGAGTTAACAGTGTGCATCAATCTTATAAGTGATGAGGTGCTTTAATAATATTAGTAATAGTATGTGACAAAGTCAATAGGCATTAGTGCATCTAAGTGATAATGGTCAAACGATTGTATATCAAAGGATTGTACTTAGATGATGATTGTGAGGACATTAATCTAGCAACAATGATCGAATGATTGTAGTCGGATGATGTTATTTGGAGGATTGTAGTATGATGATAATATTCAAAAGATGTCACTAAACTCTCGTACTCTAAAGTCTATGTGATGACATCATAAGGGCTTAATATTTCTTTTTTTGTTACCTCGATCTTATTTCATACTACATCTCATAGTAGAAATCCGCCAACCTTCTCCATATTTAAAGACATATTATAGATTGATAACAACTGTTATTGCTTCTATCACATGAGTCCCTATTAGGTAATTTGCTTTCACTCACCAAACCTGCTTCAAACAACCTACCCCTATACATGTAACTTGCTCCTAACCTCCCCGCACAACACTTGTAGCATTAGCCAAGCCCACCTCCATCATAACTTATAGTTAAAACATGCTTACTTGATTTACCATCCACTTGAACCACTTTCCATACAATTTATTTGGTCATTCTTAGACGATCGAATAAGAACCTATATAACAACTTCGCTCATTGATTTTTTTTTTTTTTTTTTTTTTTTTTTTGTCGCTTGATTTATGCCCATCTTACACACACTTGTGTACCATTACTTGATGCTAATATCATCCTTGTCAACATATGCATTCGTGCAACAATTCATTAGATGAGCACAAATTGATGTCGATGACTATTGGTGCAATATTATTTGGTGCTAATGATTAGCTTGAGCGCATCTACAACACGTTATTAGTCTTGTGCACCTTTATATGATTGACTACGATTGTAATACTATTTGACACTAATGATTAGCCTTAAAGGATAAGTACACTCACACAACCGACAATTAGTCTTACACACTCCTGATACAATCATTTGATTATCGAGAGATTACCCTATACGCTATACATATTCACACTCATGTTGAGGATATATTATCATACGATGCTTCTTTTACATTATTTTTATGTTAAAATTTATAATCATATCAAACAAAAATTTTAATAATCCCAACAATATTACATAAAAAATGCATGATATAAAACTCAAATTTCTAATAGTAATTAGAATAATCACTAATCCTTTGCCTTCTCTACCCACTCTTCATAACTCTTCATACATACAACAAACCACAAGAAAACCAACAAAGAGCAATGAAAGATTTGTCTTAAAGATTTAAGAACTTTAAATCAATACGATAAAGAACTTTTGCTTAATTTTAGTAACCAACAGATTCAGAAAAGAACACATAATTTAACACATGACAACGACTTGCAAATCAAGTCCTTATAAAACCCCACCTAAAATCACCGCATCTACAAAAGCTCCCATGGAGGCCCAGCCAACCTCCCACGCAGCTCGCACCACCGACCAGGCCCGGCCCGACAGCTCCATCGAAGAACCGACCGCCGCTTCATCAGCCAACCTCACCTCACTCTGCCGCCTCTCCACTGTCCTGGCCGTCACCGCCATCTCCCTCTGGGCCAACTACGAGGCATCCAAAGGCTTCGACATCACCGTCCTCGAAGCCCCCGGCGCCACCCTGGCCGCCCGCCACTACAACCTCATGTTCGTCTCCAATGGCGGCGCCGCTCGCGCAATCCTCAACGCCAGCGCCTCCATCGAACAAACACTCTACCCCGACACCATACACTTCCCCTACAAGCCAATCAACTCCGTCACTCTCCGCGTTTCCGACCACAATCTCACCCGCGCCGTCATCGTCACCACCGCCGCGGGTGGCGGCGGAGACTACGTTATTCTTGTCAGCCCCAACGTGATAGCAGAGAGAGATGCGGAAAAAGCGGTGGTTGCGGCGGTGTACGAAGGGATGGCGAGGGTGTGGGTAAGGGACGGGCGGGGGATGGCGCCGGCGGCGGTGGTGGATGCCGTGGTGGGGTATATCTGCGGCGCAGCGGGGTTTGGGAGGGAGGCGGATTATGCGAATGAAGCGGCGGAGGGATGTGAGGCAACGGCGGGATTCGTGAGGTATTGTGAGGAGAGGAGGCCGGGGTTTGTAGCGAGGTTAAATAAGGCGATGGAGGAGAAATGGGATGATGGGTTTTGGGACAGTGCGTTGGGGATTTCGGGTCGCGTAGTATGCTCCGGGTTTCGGGCTACGTTGGGTTGGGTTCCGGAACGGGCTGTGAATTCGACGGGAACGATGATCGAGTTGTTGCAGTCGGATTGAAGAGAGGAATCCTTAGTGTGAGTGATGGGGGTTCAGCTGACAGCTATATGATAATAGATTTCTGTGCGACGTTACATTTTATTGTGGAAAACAGATACGGACCGTTGCTTTGTTGTAGAAATAAGGGCAAGTGATTTTAAGTTAGTATTTGTGTTTTCTTTCCCTTTTTAGTCTTGTTCTATAGGTTTGTAATGATAATGATATAACACACATAATAAATCAAATAATAAAATGATTTTCTGTTGCACTATTCTGTCTTTGTTGCTTGCTTAACACTGCCTACAATGGCAGACCGGACAACTTTATGTAACTAATTATGGATAACTTGGTCTTTATACACTTTGCTAAGACTTAGATATAATCTCATGTATTCATTGTTTACAACAAGATATACAATACAGTATTCTTCATTCTTTGTTTTGTTGTTATGAAGAAGATGAATACTTCTGTATTCATTAAGTATGCTTCTACATGATATCAGAGCAACTAGTCTAACTGTCGATCCATATTTGCTTCTCAATGGGAGACTCATATGTATCTCAATCAACTCCATAGCCTTCATCTACAGCTCACCGTTCTCCCACTGAAACTCCCATCCATCAAGCCCGAAAATTTTTGGTGTCAAATATAAAAAATGTGGTTCAAATTCAACTTCTTCTAAACAACTATCCACCTGGAGATTGTAAATCTTCAAACTGTTTGCAGCAAATGATTTTTCCAGTCATCTAGATGGAAATACCTCTTGCCCTCTTAAACACATTTCCTCTTCTGAAAATCAGCTAACCATTAATCCTCTCTTTGCTTCATGGCTGCTAGTACCTGTCGGTTGCCTTATGCTCCACCATCTCTCTCTCTATCTTACCTGATATACTTAACCCTTACACTTGTGCCCTAATTTGGTCTACTCTAAAAAGTCGATTTTTCTCTACAAATTGATCTAGAGTAATCCAGTTAAAAAATGAGCTCCATTCCATTTCTATGCAAAATCACTCAATGCAAGAATATCTCTCTATAGTCAAACGGTTTGTGGACAACATTGCTGCTGTAGACGGCACAGTTGATACCGAGGATGTTATACTTTACATCATCAATGGATTGTCTGCTTCTTATCAAGCATTCAAAACTACCATCCGGACTAAACTTACCCTGTAAGCCTTAATAACCTCAACAATGGTAGAATAGCTCGTTACAAAGTTCGCTTAATTGCTCAAGGCTTCAAACAAAAATATAGGATTATCATGAAACCTTTAGCACAATAATCAAATTTACCATAGTTCGCACATTCATCACTGTGGCATTACATTTTGACTGACCTATACTTCAATTGGATGTTATTAATACATTCTTATATGGAACTCTACTAAAACAATTTACATGTCCCAACCCTAAGGCTTCCAAGATCCCCAACATCCTCAACATGTTTGTAACTACATAAAGACATATATGGTTTTAAACAAGCCCCTCCGCAATGGTTTTCCACCTTATCCACATATCTCTAAAACAAAGGCTTTCACACTAGCTCTGCAAACCTGTCTTTCTTCATTTTTATCAAAATCAAATGCGGGTCTACTTGCTCATGTACATTGATGACATTTTAATCTCTTGAAGCGATTCAAGTTTCATTTCTACTCATTTAAATCAACTTCAACAACAATTCAAGATTCACAATCTTGGTGGTTTGTCACTATTTTTTGGGATCAATTTTAATCAATCGCCTAATGGCTACCACTTATCTCTGCTAAGTTACATTGAAAACTTTCTGTCTACATCTTCCATGCCTTCTTGCAAGCCACTTGGCACTTCCTTACCTTCCAAATGACCGACAGATTCTACGCTTCAAGTTCTTTACAGTCAACAATAATTTTGTGGCAACTTGTAGGCTCTCTTCAATCTCTTACAAACACTAGGTCGGACATAGCCTTCGCAATCAACAAGCTCTATCAACACATGCACAAACATCTACTTTGCCACTTAATTCCAACTCCTCAATAGGATACTTTGATATCTTAAAGGAACAATACAGCTTGGGCTTCATCTTCCCAAAACCACTCTTACACCCTCAACATATGCAGATTTGGATTGGGCTAGTGAATCTACAGATCGCAAATCAACATCCATTTTTTGTATATTTCTTGGTACCACCCTCATTTCATGGTCTGTCAAGAAACAATCCACTGTGGCTCATTCTTCCACTGAAGCTGAGTAACGATCCTTGCTACTATTGCTGTGGAAATCATCTGGCTTCATCATCTTTGTCAAGACTTCTCTATACCGCTTCAGTCTACCCAACTTTTTTGTGGTAATATCTCTGCCATATACATAGCTTCCAACCCTATTTTCCACTCCAAAACCTAGCACATTGAGATAGATCATCACATCATTAAGCTCACCATATTACAGTACATAATGTTTCCACAATATATCAGCTTGCTGACATCTTCACTAAGTCATTACATAAACAACATCTCACTCATCTTCGGGCCATGCTACTAGTTGTTCCTCCCATCAGCTTGAGGGGGGCTGATAATTATAGCATACACATAAGCGAAACAATATAATAATTTCCTATTGCACTATTTTGTATCGCTTGTTTAACATCGGCTATAGTATCAGACCGTACAACTTTATGTAACTAACTATGGGTAACTTAGTCTTTATTCACTTTGCTAAGACTTAGATAGAATTGTTAACCACTGTATAGAAGGAACAAAAAAAATCAATCAAAATAATACCTGGCGGATCCACGAATGCCGGCAGAAATCCCACCGAGGCCCTCCGAATATCCTGCTAAATTCGGCGCCGCTCTCGCCAAATCCTCCGCTATTCCCGTGAACCTACCTCGATCGAATGACCACAAGCATCGTTAAATAGAAGTACAAGATTCTGTCATTGCTCCTCTCTGCCGCTGCTCACGTGAAATCCCCCAACCGTCCCGTCGATCTCCTCCCGACTCCAAGCCATAGCCAATCCCAACCTCTGATCTCCCCTCTCTTCCCTAGTTGACGAAGCTCCTCCAATCTCTAGTGAGAAAGACACACACACACACACACACACACACACACACACACACACACACACACACACACACACACACACACACACACACACACACACACACACACACACACACACACACACACACACACACACACACACACACACACACACACACACACACACACACACACACACACACACACACAGAGAGAGAGAGAGAGAGAGAGAGAGAGAGAGAGAGAGAGAGGCTTCATCTCTAACCATTTGAAGCCGGAATCCACGAGCTGCTCCCGATTTACCTATCCCGCCGGACTCCTTCTGTCAAACCCCTAGCCGCAAGAAGTCGAGCCTCTTCCTTCTGAACTCGACCGAGACAACACCGTCTCCTACTTACCTGTCGCCAGCACCGGGAGTGGCCTCCGATTCCATTGCCTTGGCCCGACTCTACCTCCTCCTCCGACGTTCTCTTCCTGTCGGTTCGGTAGTTGTGGCATTTTGATCGGAAGTAACTACAGAGCTCGTTAGCTGAGAAGGTAACTTCCTCCCTTAGGTGCGCTTCCTCGGCTTGATCCCGTGAAAACGAAGAGGAAATAGAGGATGTATGCTAAATCCTCTCAAAATTTGGCTCTAATCTTTCATTAGTCTTAATTAATCATGTTTGATTAATTATGATTATTTATAATTAAGCATTATTAATCACCAATAATTATAATTAATTAGTGATTTTGATTAAATTTAATTGATTTTATTTAATTACTTCTAATCTTAATTAAGTAATTATCTATAATTATTCATAATTAATTATTGTTAATTAATTATAAATAATTATAATTAATTACTAATTATGATTAATTTAATTAATTATATTTCATTATTTTTTAATCTTAATTAATAATTACTTATGATTATTCATACTTAATTATTAATTAATTATAAATAATCATATTTAATTACTGATTATGATTAATTTTAATTAATTGTAATTAATTAGTTTAATTATAATTAATTATTTTAATTAATAATTAATTATTATTAAATATAATTAGTTATAGTTAATTTTTATTAATTATAATTAAGTAAAAAGAATGCTTCTCTCCCTTGATCCTCAAGCCAACACCGTCGACCCCACGTAGGTATAATCACTCCTAAACCCTAAAACTCTGAGAACCCGTTTCAACGCATTCGTCGAGACAAAATGACCACCTATACACGCTTTTCTTAGCGTGGTGGGAGGGAGTGCGTTACGACGCTTGCGACGAAGCGGGTAATCACCTAAAATCCCTTATTCGAAGTTTTTATCGCCTTGGAAACCCCACCTATACACACTTTTCTTAGCGTGGTGGGAAGGGAGCCCGGTGCGATGCGTACGACGAAGCGGGGATACTAATAAGTACCCACTTGCGGGGAAATAACTGCTTTTCTTGCAAAATATTTTCAAAAAAATATATTTTTTTGCGAAATACCCATACACGCTTTTCTTGGCGTGGTGGTGGATCAAAAATTACACTGCTGCGGTGTCCTCGAAAGAGGGCACCTACCATACACCTAATTATGGTTATCTTTAATTGAAGTTAATATTAATTAAATATTATTAATTATTATATTTGTAAATTAAGATTAATTAAAATTAATTATTTATAATTAATTAAGGTCATTTATAATTAATTATTTTAATTAATTATAATAATTTATGATTAATTATAATTGGTAAAGCACATAGAGAATTTCTCTCTCTCCCTCGATCTACATGCCGCCCCGGCACAGTTATAACTCCTAAACCCTAAAACTCCGAGAACCCGATTTCAACGCATGCGTCGAGACAAAACGACCACCTATACACGCTTTTCTTAGCGTGGTGGGAGGGAGTGCGTCCTGACGCTTGCGACGAAGCAGGTAATCACCGAAAATCCCTTCTTCGAAGTTTGTAGTGCACCGGAAAATCACCTATACACGCTTTTCTTAGTGTGGTGGGATGGGAACCCGATGCGATGTGTATGACAAAGCGGGGATACCCTTAAGTACCCGCTTGCGGGAAAATAACTGCTTTTCTTGCAAAATATTTTCAAAATACTCATACACGTTTTTCTTAGTGTGGTGGGGGATCAAAAAAATTACACAGCCGCGATGTTCTCGAAAGAGGGCACCTACCATACACGCTTTTCTTATCGTGATAGGAAAGCCCCAA